TGGCATACAGGGAGAAGGGGATTAAGCCCTCCCACTTTGCTGTGTTCCTGCCCTGAAATAGCCACTATTTGCGTAGATGAGGAAATTTACAGGTAGGCACATGCCCATCAGCACACCTACGTTTCCCCAGGTTAAGAAGAGGAAGAAGAAGAGAAGAAGAGATTGGATTTATACCCCACCCTTCACTACCCAAAGGTGTCTCAGAGGGGCTTACAAACTCCTTTCCCTTCCCCTCACCACAAAAGACACCCTGTGAGGTAGGTGGGGCTGAGAGAGCTCTTGACAGAAACTGCTCTTTCAGGAACAGCTGTGCCAGAGCTTGTGACTGACCCAAGGTCACATCAGCAGGTGCAAGTGGAGGAGTGGGGAATCAAACCCGGTTCTCCCAGATTAGAGTCTGCACACTTAACCACTACACCAAACTGGCTCTCAAGGATTCAGGACCGGATGGGAAACTTGAGTAGGCAATTTAATAAAAGGTGTCACATGGTCAGAATGACAACAGAAGATCTTGGTGGCAGAGTGCTGGACAAAGATGACCTAACTCAGTTCTCAAGGAAGGCTTGGCAGTGGGGAAGGAAAACCCATTTATATGAGCCTAAGTGGGAGATGGGTCCAATTCGAAGGCAGCAGTAAATATTGCCAGGTCAATGGGCTTGCTAAACTGAATCAAGGGAGAATACATGATAAGGACTCAGGTGGGCCGTTCTGCGGGTGGTGGGGAAAGAGGTAGAACTAATCAGGACTGATTCCAGCCTAGCTGGGCCGATGGGGCAGGCACTTACTTGACAGAACCCACGCTGGGCCACCTGCGACCAAGCTTGGCAAAGTGTTTCTTCGGAGAATTGATCCAAAGGCCAACAGGAAAGTGAAGCTTCCCAAATCGGGGGCTCCCGTCTTTTCGTTCGTCTGAGAACATGGTGAGAAGGATCCGGCACTTTTGAAAGGTGGATATAAAGAGACACGTGACATCAAAAGCTGATTCACAATAGGCATGGCCATTCTCCCCCCAATGGGATCCACCTCAGATGACTTTCATTACACCCAGACCCGTGTCCTCCCACGCCAGACTGGAAATAAATCGGCCATTAGAGTAATACCCTTTCATAAGCGTATGGAGTACACAGTACCAGTCACCCCATTTCCACAAAGATACTGTAGTGCTGTCAGTGGTGTAGAAAAGAGCAATCGATATGAGCTAGGGGTTGGAACATCTTCCCAGCAAGGAAAGGAGGAAAGTGTTTGGAAGGGAGGGAGGAATGCTACAGGAAGTAGAAGGCAGAGGTTTATAACAAACATGTTGCAATACTAAAACCCAGGGTCACTCAATTATTTGGATTCACAAAAGATTTAAAAATGTGTCTTTCTTTCAACAGATCCACCACTGCAGCCACATTGTGGTGCGCAAGTCCATTAGACACACAGAATTCAGCTTCCAGAGAATCTCAGTTCTCATTCCTTTTTTCTAAAGAAACAGCATGGGTAAAACTTTGTCCCCACAACCAATGTTCCCTCTAAGCTGTGGGGTCTTGTGAGCAAAAATTCTATTTTGTGAGCTACTGGGATTAAGCTTGTGAGCGAGCGATTTGGGTCCTGCATAAATTAGTTTGCTCTGGAGCCATCCTTCCTGAGCGAAGACAAAAATGTGTGAGCCAGAGGCTAAAAAACTGTGAGCTAGCTCACACTAACTCAGCTTAGAGGGAACACTGCCCACAACAGGTCTAGAATATGGGGAGGGAGGGATAAATACAGCCACGTGCCTCCACTGGCCAAGGAAGAAAGGACAGAATGGCCCGTAGACCCTCGCTATCTTGAATTCTGATAGGCCAGAGCAGGACATGTGACAAGGCCTAGAACTATTTCCAGGTCAGGGTGACAGAGACTGGCCTCTCCCTCATTTCAGCCTTATGCGGCCACACCCAGCCTCCCTGTCCCCTCATTCCCAATGACATGGCCGGAACCGCAGCTGAGTGGGGAAGCTTTGAAACACTTCCATGCTGTGGTCCCTTCGTATCTCATCCCCCCTTGCGAAAACATGTCCAAAACACCAGCAAAAGTTGAAACTTAAAACAGCAGTCTCTCTTAGTAAAGGGTCAATGCAACACTATACAAACATCCTTACAATTTATAAATGAGTCTGTTTGGCATGGAACAGAATAGAGTCGAAGATAAGATAACAGATTTGTATACCTGTAGACACATCCTACCCAGAAAAGCTTTGACTCTACGGTTGCCAACTTTGAGGTGGGGCCTGGAGATCTCCTGGAATTTACAGCTTATCTCTTAAGTGACAGGGATCAGTTCCCCTTGAGAAAATGGCTGCTCTGAAGTGCGGGTTCTAGGCCATTATACCCTGCTGAGGTCCCTCCCCAAACCCCACCCACTCCAGGCCCCACCCCAAACCAGAACTGACCATCCTCCTGGATTCCCCATTGCCTTAATTCTCAAGTCCTCACTTAAACCAACAGATTTCACTCCTGTTGGACCCAAGCAAGCTTCTTTGCAGTTCTTCACAGGTGACTAACTGCCAGATGGGGTTCAAACCCAGACCAGAGAGGCAGGGACACTTAAGCCTGCACTGCTGTCCCAGCCAGGAGGGTGAGTCAGAGGCCTTGAATCAAACAGTGACGTCAACAGGAAAAGAAAAGGTCTTATGAGCTCTGGGGTCCCAGTAGCTGGAGCCGCACCCCACGTGCTGCTTGGTTCTTGGGAGAGTAAATTAGGGAAACCGCATGAAACAGAAAACAGCAATCTGGACACCCCCCCCCCCCCGGCCTCCCCGACCTCACCCAGCCCCTCACACCACAACCCTCGTTCTTTAAACGGCTAGATTTCTGTTCCTTGGTTCTTTTCTGCCCCCCATAAAACACAGTGCTCTCTTTTGCAGAAAACTCGGGTTCTGGTTCCCAGTACTATGTATTGTAATCAGAGAAGTGCCTGAGCAAGAAAATCCAGATCATGCCTCCCCACCCAACAACCCCACAATAAAATAAAATCAATAAGTGGCAACATCAGGCTCTTTAATAGCACCTGCCACCTGCTTCACTCCTAGCCAATGAATGTGACTTCTCTTAGAAGCTCCTTCCTTCCACAACACTAGCTTCCAGGTCCTTCCCAGAGAAGAAATCTTTGAGAAGGCAGCAAGGCCTGATGAACCAGTGAATGGATGCAGGCAAGAGGCTCTAGCGAGATCTCCTGGAATTATGACCGATCTCCAGATGACAGAAAATCAGCTCTCCTAGACAAAATGGCTGATTTGGAGGGTGCACTCTATGGCATCATATCCCACTGAGCTCTTTTCCTTCCCCAAACTCTGACCTCCCCAGGTTCCACCCCCAAAATCTACAGGAATTTCCCAACCCAGAGTTAGCAACCGATATCTGCCAACGAGATCTAACAAACAGGGCAAGCAGGGAACCAGGACGCCGCAGTTCCCTGGAAGGAATGTCTAGGGGACAAGAGAAGACCCAATGCCAGACCCCTGGAATCCTCCTTGAGTGGAATGTGCCTGCACACGGTCGTTTCCCATTTTTAGATTATGTACATGGAATCTATGGGAGAGCATTCTTACCTGCTCTGAGGGCTGTCCCAGGGGCTGCAATCTCCCTGGTCCATGCTCAAGCACCACACAGGGCAGGCGCCATCTTCCACACTGGGGTCCAGCGCACACTGTCTGCCCGGGGCTCCTGTGTGTGCTGTGACTTAGTCCGGCGATGACTGCGCACGGATTTCCCGTGCCTCTGGTCATTCACATACAGGAGGTGCGGCAGGAAAGGGAGATGGGGGGGGCAGGAAACTGGCTGGGCAGTAGGGCCTCTCCCAAGAACTAGGGAGTGGAACAGGCTGGTTCATGCATCTCAGCTCGCAAGGGCAGGAAAACCAAGGCAGCAACATAAAGGGGTGGACAATGGGAGTCCCTCCCCCCTCCCATTCACCTCCATGCTCAGTGACTCCGCAGTCACCAGAGAGCAAGGCCCACGGATGGGATAAGGGTGTGACGTGGACAGGAAAGAAGCCTGCTTGGCTTGAGTCTGATAATGACCCGCTGCCCTGTATAGTTACGGTTGCCAGGTCCCCTCTGGCCTCTGGCAGGGGATGAGGGGCGTAGAGTTAGCAGATCCAGGTTGGGAAACTCCTGGGGATTTGGGGATGGAGCCTGGGGAGGATGGGGACCCCCAGTGGAGGACAGTGCCACAAAGTCCACCTTCCGGAACGTCCACTTTCTCCGGGGGAATTGATCTTTGCAGTCTGGAGATGAGCCACAAATCCAGGGGATCCCCAGGTCCCACCTGAAGGCTGGCATCCCTCTATTACAGACATGGTAACCATTGGCATGGGCTGCAGACATCAGTTGATGATCCTGCTTATATTGGATGATTTCTATTGGCCAGGCTGCTGTTAAAGACACAGAAGCAGGCCAGGGCATTCCTCTTGTCAGCTGGCCACCCTGCACGCCTCTTCAAACACTCCACAAGCTAGGTTTGCAGTGATGCACCTACAGTTGCACACTGCCCCAGGTGGTGGTACACACATATAACAGGTTGGTCACAGGTTGAAAGATGTCATGTGGGTGTTTCCCAGGATCACAGTGCACCCAGACAGCTGCTGATAGGGTGAAGGCTGCAAGCATATTGCAAGTTGTGGGGCATTTCCCCCCAGCCTAAATTTGGCCATTCATTTGGCCGTTTACAGGGTTGTCAGCTGGTCCAGAGAAAAGTGTACTATCCCTTTAACAGAGACTTAAAATGGTATTTCCCAGGTGATGTTCCGTACCACCAAGTCATGAAAAGCTTCAACTGCCCATTTCCACACAGTAAACCTCTCTTAAAGGGATAGAACACTTTTCTCCAGGCCACAGGGCAATCCTAAAATGTGGAATGGGGAAAGAAGTCAGTACATCTCCGCAACCAACATACAGCAACAGACTTTTTGAAGAAGCAACAGTTCAAAAATGACTGCCAGTGTGGTGTAGCGGTTAGAGTGTCAGGCAAGTATCTGGGAGACCCATGTTCAAATCCCCACTCTGCCATGGAGGTTCGCTGGGTGACCTTGGGCCAGTCTCATTCTCCCAATCTAACCTACCACACAGAACTATTGTGAGGATAAAATGGAGGAGAGCGGACTCATGTAAGCTGCTTTGGGTCCCACTGGGGAGAAATGCGGGGTATAAATGAATTAGATAATAAATAAATAATAGTGGCTTGCTGTCCCCCTCCCCAATGGACAATAAACGAAGGGCCATTTTTAGTATGTAAATATAAATCTGTGCAAGGTGTTTCCTTGCAAAAACTGTCTTAACTTAGTCTTAACTTAGTCTTAACTTAGTCTTAACTTAGTCTTAACTGTTATTGCACCTTGTGCCTCTGTAAGCCACCCTGAGCCCGCGTGCGGGGAGGGCGGGGTATAAATGAAATGAAATAAAATAAATAAAACCACATTGGACTGAATAGGGCTTGTGCAGGAATTGTGCTCCACTTTAATTGCATCTCTTGTAGTTAATTAATTGCACTGATTCATTGAGTAAAGCTATTCATTAATTCATAGGGTTACTATAACTCATAAGCAACTTGACAGCACTTAGAGAGCCAGTTTGGTGTCGTGGTTAAGAACGGCGGACTCTAATCTAGAGAACCAGGTTTGAGTACCCACTCCTCCGCAGGCAGCCAGCCAGCTGGATGACCTGGGGTCAATCACAGTTCTCTCAAGAGCAGTTCTCTCGGAGCTCTCTCAGCCCCAGCTACCTCTCACGGTGTCTGTTGTGAGGAGAGAAAGAAAAAGGAAATTGTAAGGCGCTCTGAGACTCCAAGTGAAGGGTACAATTCCTATTCAATGGAGTTCGGGTAGAAGTACTTTCCAGTGGATGGTCCCACTACTTCAATAATGGTACTGCTTAACTTATTGTACCTTAATCAGTCAAAGAGAACTTTTCCTCCCTTTTCCTTCCATCATGTCGAAACTTGGGTTCACTCAGTGCAGCTGATGGGCAGTAAATTCAAGAAAGGCAAAAGGAAGGACTTAATTCATAAAATGTATAATTAATTTATGGCATTCAGTGCCATGTCATGGCTACGGGCTTAGCTTGAAAAGGGGATTAGACAAATTTATCTGTGATGGCTGAAGGAAACCTCCACATTCAGGGGCAGTTTACCTGTGAACACCAGTTGTTGGGGTTGGGGGAACAGCAGGCAGAGGCTATTTCCTTCATTCTCTGCTTGGTGGACTTCCTGCCTACAACTGGTTGGCTACTATGGGAAACAGAATGCTGGATCTGTAAGGGTCTTTTGGTTGGCCACTATGGGAAACAGAATGCTGGATCCAGCAGGGTTTTTCTTATGTTCTACAGCTTGCAGTTTATTATTACACTTATTACACTTTAATAGATTTTATTACATTTTAATAGATTGCTACTAGCTCTGAACCCTCGGACTGGGGCAGCCTCCTAACCTTTCAACCCCCTGCAAAAAATATTGCATGGTCTAGGGAGTAATAATGTCTAGGAAGTAATCATTCTTAGCCTATTTAGACTGTGTCCCAAATGCTTCCTGTATACTCAGTAATCCTAATAACCACCTTGTAAGGTAGGCCAGTGGTATCATCTCTCCACCCCTACCAGTACTTAGAAGACAAGTAGAGGCGATCGTTGTTGTGGCACACTTTGGGATGTGTTTCAAAATGTGATTATAATGGACGTTTTACTGTTTGTAGTCTGGGGAATGCTAATTTGTGTCCTGACCCGGAAGGCCCAGGCTAGCCTGATTTTGTCAGAAGTTAAGCAGTCAGCCCTGGTTGGTATTTGGACGGGAGGCCACCAAGGAAGTCCACGGTTGCTACACAGAGGCCGTCAATGGCAAACCACCTCCATTCGTCTCTTGCCTTGAAAACCCCAGAGAGTCGCCATAAGCCAGCGGTGACTTGACGGCACTTTTCGTGGCCACTATCATTGTATGTGGGCTTGTTGGAAGCTGCCTTCAGGACTGGCGCTGTCAAAAGGGCAGGTCACCATAAACACAAAAACTGGGAGGCAGAAACATGCTGAGAGCATTCAGGGCTTGTGCCTGGTCTGGGAGGTGTGCGCCTTTTGCGTCCAACATGCTTGTGCCTCTTTGGCAGTGTGACTGAGCACAATGGCCCAGTGCCAGGTGAAGTGTAGCTGAAGAGTGGCCAGGAGGATGCAGCCAGGCCCCTGAATATTGCATGCCCGCCTGTGTATATTTCCTACACCTGTTTCCTTAGTCATTCTTTTGGGCGGATGCTTGTTGTCCCTGTGCCATACTCCCCTTCGCAGGCAGTTTTTTGGGTTTCCTTGGCAGGGTGTGTATAATCGCTTCTCCGATCCACCTTTTTATCACTTGGGGATCTGGGGTGTGAGTTCCCTCAGTAGGTGAGCCTGTACTTCCCCTACACCCTTTCCCCTCACTTAGCTTTGCTTGGGTGTGTGTAAGGCAGTGGGTGACTCCACACCTTCCTCACTCATTATTTTCAGTGTCTGCTAGGTATGCATTCAGCATGTGCCTATGGGATCCATTCTTAAAGCAACGAACGAGATGATCTTTGAATCTGGGTTTCTATAAGCCCCCTATGTTCCACATGATGAATAATGCATCCCACGTGGGGCGAGATTTTCCCTGCTCCACAAGACCTAATTAAGAACTTTAATCTCATTGATTTCCCTGGAAATTATATCACCTACCTTTGAGAGGGGTATGTGTAATTTATATTTATTTATCACATCTCTATACACACTTTTATCCTAAAAGCGGTTCACAATGTAAAAGAAAAAATTAAGACAATGAAAAATGAAAGCCCTAAAACAGGGCTGGAGGCACCTTTGGAATTCTGACACAGGATGGTGGGTGCAGCCACAAAACGGCTGCCACAGGAGGCAGAGCCAGCTGTAGATCCTTGTGCTGTGCTGGCAGCTGCTGCCGTTGCAACATTTGAAAAAAATCTCCCAATCAGAAGGCTTGCTGGGCAAAAGCCCCACGTGGCCCACCCACTTTCTAAAACACTTGGCTATGTCAGGGAACATTTTCGAAAACCTCTTGCAGATTGGATCAGTCTTTTGAAACCGATCTAAAGTTTCATATCAGATGTGAGTGGTAGAAGAAAGTCTTTGCCTGCCTTCAGTAAGGTGAAATACAAACTGGGAACACAGTGGGCAACACTAGAGTAAACAGTGCAACAATGCACACCTTTGGGGAAAACAGCATCGGGGCCACCAGTGAAAAGGCCCTGCTCTTCATGTGCATCATCCAGCATCCACTCTAGATAGGATCTGAGCAGGCCCTCACTGGCAGGTATATTAAAGAATGGGAGGGTTCAAATGGGAGTTCTGTTTCTATGTGTTCAGAGACTCAGAAGAGGGTGGGAAATGAGAGCCAGGGTGAATAAGGTTCTCAAACTCCGTGGCAAGAGATCTCCTGGGATTACAGATTTTCTCCTTTGGAAGGTGGCCTCTATGGCATTATACCTCACTGATGAAGTCCCTCCTCTCCCCAAATCCTGCCTTCCTCAGGCTCCACTCCCAAAATCTCCAGGTATTTCCCAACCCGGAGCTGGCAACCCTAAGCGTGAATTAACTGTAAGAGTGCCATGCTAGTACTTGAAGACCAGGGATTCACCCCCCCCCCCCCGCATCTCCCCG